TATATATATATATGTATATACATACATAAAAAATATATAAGGTATATATGTCATATTTTTTCTACACCTTACTGTGATATAATTTTCTTTTGTTGTGGTACTGTTAATGGTAGTACAGTACAATACTATTAATACCTATTTCTTTGTATTTTTGTCCCTGTAGGAGCATATGGGCTCAGCCGCCATCATCAACTTGGTGGGAAGTTGTTAACAGGTCCTGGGATGAAACAGATTGGCAAAGAAACTTGAGGATGACAAAAAACATCATTTCTGCATCTTTGCGACATCCTCCGATCACGTTTGACACGCCAGCACACTAGATATTGTAGTCCACTTCCTGTTGAGCTGCGGGCTGCAATATGTCTGTGGAGGCTTGCAACAAATCTGGAGTATCGCTCCATCTCCCACCTGTTCAGCGTGGGCGTCTCTACAGCCTGTAGTGTCACACAACAGGTTGTAACTGCTTTTAATGTTGTATGAAACCTCTGTATATAAAAACCCCTTCTGATGCAGAGCTTATGGTGATCGTCCAGGGTTTCAGGACTCGATGGAAGCTACTCCAGTTTGCAGGTGTGAATGATGGTACCCAGCTGAGAATCCTGCTGACTATTATAACAGGAAAAACTTCTACTCTGTTATTCTGCAAGGCATGGTAGATAACAAAATGAAATTCTGGGATATGAATGTGGGCTGGCCGGGAAAAGTTCATGATGCAAGGGTTTTGGCCAACTTTTTCTTGTACAGTAGGGGTGAAAATGGGACACTGTTCCCAGGCTGGATAGAAAGGCTGAAAAATGTGGATGTACCTCTACACATTCTCGGCGATGCTGCATACCCACTACTGCCTTGGCTGCTGAAACCATTTCGTAAGGGGAGAGGTTTAACACAACAGGCAAACTTCAACTATAGACTCAGTCAGGCTAGAAAGACAGTTGAAAGGGCCTTTGGACGTTTGAAGGGGCGCTGGAGGTGCGAAGCACACATTTCCTTTGTAAGCCACATATCATCAGCCTGGTGTTCTGCATAATTTCTGTGAAACAGCAAATGAGGAGTGGACGGATGAAGAGCCTGCAGATTATGTGTATGACTGTCGATCCAGAGATTGGCCTTCAAGCTATGGGGGGAATTAGGGATGCTCTGTGTGCATACGTGGCACATTAATGCTGTTGTAAATTAATATTTTTTTTAACACCATTTTGTGCCATTACATTTCAAAATAAAGTTGTTGTTTTTTTATTATCTCTGCATCTGACAGGTGTTTATATGCTGCAGTTTTGCAAGAAAAAGACAACTTGTTCATACTTTTTTTATTGTAACAAATAATACTTCAACATTGTAACAAATACCATACCATACCACTTAATTTATAAAACACTTAAAACAGCGACAAGGCCAACCAAAGTGCTGTACAGACAAAACAACAGGTAACACACAAAGCAAAATACAAAATGAAGTAAATCAGAATACAGACATAAAAACGATGCAGATAATGACGACAAACCAGTGTAGAGCATACAGGATCAAAACACAGATCATCTGGTGTTGAAAGCTATTGAATAGTAGTGAGTTTTTAAACTGGACTTAAAAACCGAGAGGGAGGGGGCCTGTCTGACAAGCAGAGGTAACTCGTTCCAGAGTCTTGGTCCTGCTACAGAGAAGGTCCTGTCACCTCTGCGCTTAAGACGAGTTCCTGGAACTGTGAGGAGCAACTGGTCCGCTGACCTCAGGGAGCGTGGTGGGACATACGGTTGTAGCAGATCAGAGAGATGGGGGGGGGGGGGTGTGACACTGTTCAGTGATTTGTTCAGTGATTTGTAGACATACATGAGTAGTTTGAACTGGATTCGAAAGTGAACCGGTAACCAGTGCAGTGAGGCCAAAACTGGTGTAATGTGCTCTCTTTTGCCTGTACTGGTTAAAAATCGGGCTGCTGCATTCTGGACCAGTTGTAGTCGTGCAATGGAGGTCTGACTGATACCAAACAGGAGCAAATTGCAGTAATCAAGCCTAGATGTAATGAATGCATGTATTACAGTCTCCAGGTTCTTTTTGGACAATATGGGCTTCAGTTTAGACAGCCGCCTCAGTTGGAAGAAGCATGATTTAACAATCATGTTTACATGATTGTTAAGTTTCAGGGAAGGGTCCATTATCACGCCCAGATTAGTGACTCTTTGTTTTTCTGACAGGGTTAGAGCGGAAAGGTCGATGCAATGGTTTGTAGTCGTGTCGTTGGGAGGGAACAACATGACTTCAGACTTCTTTTCATTGAAACTTAAGAAATTTAAAGCCATCCAGTCCCTGATGTTAGCCAGGCAGTTGAGCAGTGGTTGAATAGAGCATGTACCATTGTGTCTTAGGGGGAAGTAAATTTGACAGTCATCGGCATAGAAGTGGAAGGGCATGTTGTGTTTCCGGAAAATAGCACCAAGCGGCAGCAGGTATAAAGAGAATAGGAGGGGACCCAGTATGGACCCCTGCGGAACCCCCCATTTAAGCTCTGCCTCTGCGGAACTAAAATCCTTGATGGAGACACAAAAGGATCTGTCAGTGAGGTAAGATCTGAACCAATTGAGGGCTGATCCTGTGACGCCCACCCACTGCTCCAACCTAGCAATGAGGATCTCATGGTCGATGGTGTCAAAGGCGGCTGTGAGGTCCAACAGGACAAGCAGCACAGAATCACCGGTATCTGTGGATCTGAAGATGCCGTTAAAGGCCTTCAGCAGGGCAGTTTCAGTGCTGTGGAGAGGTTTAAAGCCAGATTGGAAAAGCTCTAAGATGGCGTGATCCTCCAGGAAGCACTTCAACTGGGACTCGACTATTTTCTCTAGTACTTTAGAAACAAATGGGAGTTTGGAGACAGGCCGGAAGTTGGAAACGAGTGAGGGGTCAAGCTTTGTTTTTTTCAGGAGAGGCTGGACGGCAGCATGTTTAAAGGTGTTTGGCACCACGCCAGTGGATAAACTACTGTTTACTATATCAAGAATGGACGGGCCTAGAGTTGGAAACACCTCCTTTAGTAGTCGAGGGGGGACCACATCAAAGGGGGAGCCAGAAGGTTTCAAGCTGCACATAACCTGCTCTAGAGAAGATAGAGTGATGGGTTCAAAATGGTCAAAAGGAGCTACAGATTGAGGTGGGATGGATGGGTCATGAGTTGGAGGGGAAATGAGAGCCCGGGTGGTCGCAATTTTTTCCACAAAGAAATGTAGGAAGTTGTCGCACAGCTCAGTCGAGGCTTCCAGAGGTGATGGTTCAGTGAGGTGGAGAACAGAGTTTAGGGTGGAGAAGAGGACACGTGGGTTGTGAGAGTTTGAGTTAATTATATCAGAGAAGAATTTTGATTTTGCAGCTTTTACTGTTTTCTGATAACATCGCCAACTCTCTTTACGTATTTGAAAAGAGACCTGCAGCCTGTCTTTCCTCCACTTTCGTTCCGCCCTCCTACATTGCTGCCTAGCGGCCTTGGTGACGTCACTCAGCCAAGGTTCTGCTCTGAGTTTAGATTTTTTGGTTTTAACAGGTGCAACATGATCCAGAGTCTTTAAGCAGACAGAGTTGAACTGGGATGTCAGCTCCTCAGTGGTGGTGAGAAACACTGGGGGCTGAATGATCATTTCAGAGTTATAAACATCTGTGAAACGTGCGGCAGTGAAGTGGTTAACGGTCCGGGTGCGACGTGCAGGAATGCACGACTTGGGAGTTAGATGGGGGAGGGTGAACTCAAACTGGACTGGCATGTGGTCTGAAAAAACATTATCACCAATAACAAGATTATTAACAGTCACATCATGAGTTAAAACAAGGTCCAGTGTATGTCCACGCTCTTGGGTGGGACCGTTTACATGCTGAGTTAAATTAAATGAATCCAATAAAGCTAAAAAGTCCTTAACCAAGGGCTTCTCAGGACTCTGATAATGGTCCAAATAAGCGACTTCAGTGCCAGAAAAACGAAGATCCAAAAGTTGTTGTCTGTCATACACCAGCAGAGAGTTGATGTCATTGATGAGGACTACAAAAAACAAAAATAATCCGAACACCATCAGCAGAGGTGGATTGCAAGCCATGTACATGGGCGCCATCTTACCGGAAGTGAGATGCAGTAAGTTTCAAATAAAAGTTCAATATTGAACGTTCAACAGTTTTGTACACATTCTTCTGAACATTTTAACGTATGTATTATTGACCAAATTTCATATGAGTTGTTCAAACTGTTTATACAGATAATAATAAAAAAAGTTTCAAAATACTTCACTGTGATATTTTCACTTGTATTAACTACAGATCAAAGATATCATTGTTGACATCACCTATAACAGATGCTGAATGCTGAGATGTGGCTGCCATGTATTGCTCCTGTGGGGTTTGGGCTGGTGCTGGTGCAGTGTGGTGGGTTGGTGTATTATGCTGGTGGTGAGAGGATGCAGTGGGCCTGACTTGAGTAGGAGGCATCCACTGCTGTGTGGTAGGTGGCGTCACGGATTGGGGCATTGCAGCATGAAGAAACGTAGACATCATCTGAAAGAACATCTGGCTGTTGGCCTTCTGCTGCTCTTGCATTAACTGGAAATGTTTTTCTTCAGCTTGCTGCTGCATTTTTAAAAAGCTCTCAAAAGACGCAGACTCCTGCTTCATTCTTTTGCATTCATCCTCATCCCTTTTTCTCTGGTCATCCATGTAGCTCTCACACAAGTTCTCAAACCTGTCAGCCTTTGTCTTTTTCTTTCTTTTCTGAGCCCCAGGTACAGCCAGCCTTGGTAGGCCCCTTTCTTCATCCAGCAGGGAGCTTGTGGGGGCTGCCTGTTCAACTTCAAAGTCAGTGGCACTTTTATCTGCACGATTAAAATGTTACATACACGTCACCACAGTTATACACTGGAATTATACATATTGGCTCATCTATTTATAATAAATTGGGGCAAATAAACACAAACTGGCAAGATGTAACTGCTCATTTTATAATGAAGCATAATGTCAATACTGAAATAGGTCTGCTCAAGCATTATTACATAGTATAGTCACCCACTTACCACTTTTTTCTGAGTCCTGACCCTGCTCTGTGGATTCGGAGTCGCTCGGTGCCAGGGTGGATGGCGGCGGAGTCTCTGCTTGGTAGGACTCCAGAACATGTTGTGGGCTGCTCGTGTGTTGAGTGCCAAGAACAACATCTAGTTCATCGTACCAAGGAAACTTGTCCTTCATGTCTGCTGAACTGCCACTTTTCCTGAGCATGTCACGTATTTTAATATATTGTTGGCGAAGTTTTTTTACCTTGTTGCGGCACTGTTCAGCTGTGCGCTGGAATCCCAACTCCTCCATTTTCAAACTAATTAGCCTGTAAACCTCGTTGTTCTTGTGAGTTGTAACAAGTAACTGCGAAATATTTTCATCTGACCATACTTGTATGAGGGCCTTTATCTCCTCTTCACTCCACGTCTGACCACGAGCCATTTTCTCCTGCTAATGTTAACGCGCGTTTGGTTGTATTTACCCAGAATGCCCTACGTTGTAGTCCACTTCCTGTTCTCGTTGTAGTTCCACTTCCTGCTTGTGGAGCGGTGCCCGGTCTGCTTGCATTCACACTGTACTGCGCTATTGTTTTCTTCTACCAGACCGAGACCTAGGTTTTTAGGTGGGCCAGAGTTCGATGGCGCGTTCACACCTCCGCAAACGAACCGGACTTCCTAGGCAAACGGGCTAGAGTTCGGGACAACAGGGCTGGTGTGAATGCACCCTAATAGTTCCTTCTTGGTTGCCTTGAGGACACTCCGGTTGGATCCAGTTCCCTCATGACCAGATGCTCATCCTCATTTCTCTCATGAACTTCCATGTTGCCTGCTTCTAGAATACACCCAGCAATAACTGTGAGCTGACCAGAAGACTGAAGCTAAGGTTGATGGGAAAAAAAGGCAATTTTCTGACGAAGTAAACAAAGCTCAGAAAAACGTGTGCACTCTTTCCACCATTTTGCCGGAAGTGAAATTAAATGTCCTTGGTCACGTGTAAACCGTTCAACTTTGACTTCAAGTCAACCAAACTTAAAATGACGTCAGACGCTTTGATGAATGAGATTGGTCAGTTCCGGCGCGCGTGTCACAGTGCTCAGATCTGATTGGCTTAGCCGGACCGCTGCCTCTGTTCAAGCTCGTGCAACCCGTCACAGCGTGTGTCATCAGCCACTACTTTATACAGTAGAGAAATGGCGAACTGGTGTGTGCGAGCAGTGAGACAGAGCTACTCGCTTGTAGCTTCACCTGCGCTGATACGGTGAGCAGAGTTTGTTCTTTAGATGTTGTTGTTTTAAAGGAACGCTCGCTTTAAATTGTAGTTTTTCTTCATGACAGCCCATGACGCTAGTCGGTTAGCATCGTTAGCTTTCTCGTCCTGCTGGTTGACCTTATAAAAGACAAACACACCGCACTTAATCTGCTGGAGGTGGGCTAAGTCACACGACTCATACAGTCTGACATTTGGCATGTGTTTACAGAAAGAACATTATGACCGTAAAGGGAGATGAATACAGCTGAAGCTAATCTGACAGTCTCATAGTTAAACTACATATGTTTGTGTGTAAATGATAACACTGCCCGCTTATGTTTGAATGCAGCTTCAGGTTGAGGCAGAGACTTGTGATCCAAGCTTTAATACAACTTGCACTGTTCTGACCTCAAAGCGACACCCATTGAGTAACTGAGCATGTGCAGTCATTGTGTAATGTTCTTGTGTGTGAGTGGAAGGAGCCTGAAGCTGTCCTGATACAATCTAAAGAGAAGTGTTGGTGGGGTTTTTGTTTGCCTTCCCCATCCAGAGCATCTCCACGACTGCTGTGCACAGCCACCCAGCAGAAGAATGGCCCCGGGCCGGAGGAGGAGGCTGAGAAGATGGAGCAGAGCGCAGCAGAGAAAGTCCTGATGGAGGAGAAAAGCCAGCTTGAGGAGCAGCTCAAGGAGATGACAGTAAGTCGGCACGTTCATCCAGCTGGGATGTCCATCCATCATCTTTACCCGCTTCTTCCTTTTCGGGTCACTGGTGCCCATATCTAGCTTTCACAGTGTGAGAGGTGGGGGACACCCTGGACAGGTCTCCAGTCCATCACAGGGACACATAGAGACAAACGAGACAAACAACCATTCACTCTCTCACTCACACCTAGAGACAATTTAGAGTTACCAATCAGTCTAACATGCATGTTTTTGGTCTGTGGGAGGAAACTGGAGCACCAGGAGAAACCCCACACATGCAAACTCCACCCAGAACGGTTCCCCGGCTGGGATTTGATCCGGCGACCTTCTTGCTGAGAGGCAACAGCTGCCACGTGCCGCCCTAGCTGGGCTGTCCTGATGTAAATCCAGATGTGGCAGGTTTAACATTTATTGATATAATTTATAAACCTGTGATGGCCAGGTGACCTGTTCAAGATGGACCCTGCTTCTCATCCAGTTCTGCTGAAGAGAGCCACCAACTTCCTGTGACGCTGAACAGGAAACGCTTATAAAGTAAATGAATAAATGAATATTTTATTAAGTAAAAAAATCTAAGCAGTATTTTTACTCGTACAATTACATACCTGTATATGTCTTTTGACTTTTTTTTTTTTTACAACTAAGTAGAATACATTTAAATATGTTCATTTCATCCTAAATTAATTTTGCTCTAAATGACTTAAGTTCAGTTCGAGTTTTCAAATAGTGGAATGAACGTTGGAATAGCCTCTGAAGGAGCATGGTGAGATTTTTGGCTGACATTTTGTTAGATTGTATGTGTATGCCATTATACCGTTTACTATGACGCTGCGGTAGCTTGGCGGTCGGTCTTGTAATCTTGAGGTTGCGGGTTCAAAGCCAGGTTGCATCAGGAAGGGCATCCAGCATAAAACAAATTGCCAACTATTTCATGCAAGTTTGCTCGCTGTGGTGACCCCTGAAGAAGTAGCAGCTGAAAACATGGACTTGTATTAATTACACTGTTCATATGTGGGAGCCACACATTGTAACGCCCATGTGTTTGGTGTTTGCTCATCAGTTCAAAATCACATACCAGTAGTTTTGTTTATTCCATCCATTCGTTATCTTCTGCTTTTAAAGTCGGGTCTCAGGGGCAGCAGCTTGAGCAGGGAGGTCCAGACATCTCTTTCCACAGCACCTCTTCCAGCTCTTCTGGGAGGACTCCAAAATGTTCCCATGCCAATCGAGAGACATAGTATCACCAGCGTGTCCTGGGTCTTCCCTGGGGTCTCCTCCCAGTCGGACATGCCCGAACCACCTCAACTGGCTCCTCTCGATGTGGAGGAGCAGAGGTTCTACTCCGAGTCTCTCTGAACTCCTAACTCTAAGAAAAGAGTCCAGCTACCCTGCAGAGGAAACTTATTTCAACCACCTGAATCCACGATCTCATTCTTTCGGTCACTACCCAGAGTTCAGGACCACGGCTGAGGGCAGGAACGTAGACCAACCAGTAAACAGAGAGCTTTGTCTTTCAGCTCAGCTCCCTCTTCACCACAACAGACCAGCACAGAGTCCACAATACTGCAGACGCTGCACCAGTCCATCTGTCAATCTCACGCTCCATTCTTCCCTCACTCGTAAACAAAACCCAGAGATACTTGAACTTAGTTTTAGTTTAATACAAAACAAAATAACATAATTTATATTGTGAAAACAGACGTCTGGATCCAACCGTCCACCAGTCCTGGTCAAGAGTTCACAACGTGTTGGCCCAGCACGCTACAAAGCTCTGCCGTTGTTTCAGCCTGCCTAGTTTAAAACTATACTTTATGGACTTTGCATGTTTAATCAGAGCTCTGCTGCCAGTTTATGTAGTTGAACTAAACGTTTAAAATGTAGTTTTCTTGTTCATAATCCTGGACATATTTAAACTTTATATTATGTATCTTGTTCTTTATATAGGATTTAGACATAACTAGTCTTTTGTCTTCCAATACACTAAATCACTGTTAGATAGATGGAGAGATAGATTGATAGGCTAATAGCTAATATTTAGGAAAAGGTTAATATTGATACAGTTTAAATTAGCTGGTACGTCTCTACTCCCAGTACCCTGTTTTATAGAAATGGCAGACAAGAGCACGACGACCTCTGGTACAATATCAAAGTGTATTAGACGATTATTTCTAAAGAAAAAATAAATATAATTACGAGAACCGTGACGTCAAAGCATTAGAACATTGGAACAGTTAAGAAAACACTGAGTTTATTGGCTGAACTTGTTTATTACTCTGGTAAATATGGTCCGCTGCCATTCCTGCTAAGTGGCAGCACAAATTCTCACCTTGCTATACATTCAAGTGCATCTATTTCAGCGACTGAATCGATTACTTAAACGTATCAACAAGTATGATGTCATGCAAACTACAAGGACTTTAAAGCCAATGGAACAGTTTGTCAAGTTTATATCATGATGGATGTATTAGACATTCTCCTGTACCAGTGATGTCCTTAGTCTGAAAGAATAGCATTAAAAATATTTACACTTGACTGGTAAAATAAACCTGAGATTTTAGTTTGTACATAATGTAGAGGTTGTTTTAATTCCTGTTGGCGTTTTTGTTTTCCAGGATAAATACAAGAGGGCTTTGGCAGACACAGAAAACCTGAGGATGAGGAGTCAAAGGATGGTAGAGGATGCTAAACTATACGGTAAAACTCTTTTTTATTTTCAGTTTACTGTTTCCCCCCTCACATAGTCTGAAATATTGTATTTACTCTCCGTCACAGAAATGTTCAGTCGTGTTGCAGTTACACATACACACCACTAGATGTCACGGAAGAGCAGCTGAAGATCTTTTTAATCGTATATTAAATTTGTTTGTTGGATTCTAACAGATTTGCAGTGACATTTTCAACTACATTTGATTCTTCTGATTAACGTCCGTATCAGTTTGACTTTGGGACTTTATTTTCTTCAGTTTAGACAGAGATTTATGCTGACGACAGTGTTTACAAACTGTTTATGCGCTTTATGAAATGCCTCTTGGCCTCTTGGATGAGGGGCGAAACGTTTCTTTTTAACAAAAAAACGAA